GCGGTATCTAGCAACACATCATTGCTACCCAAGTCACGAAAATGTCATGTGATATGACAAAACCTTTATGTGATAATATTTATGTGTACAATTACCCTTTTACCCTTATGTCTATACTTAACACAAGGCATAGACTGTGTCATCCTTGTCCAATTCAATATTGGACCCTTAGACATTTATCCTGTTATGCATAATGGGAAAATTCCATCTAGGTCACTCATGTCCCTCAGCATGTTTTGTGAAGTATCCATCAATTGTCTTTATGGTCATCCAGTTATGAATAATGTTTGATCAACAATAAAGTACTTAACTCTACATCTAGGATCCATAGTGGTTTCAGGTCGAAGGGTGGTATACACCATTATCACCATGAGAATATCTTATGACACCTTGCATAACATTCTATGTAGTATTCTCATAGCGGGTCAATCCAGTATAAATATTACTCCTAATATTCACACATATGTCAAGACTTGATAAATCCTTATCCATGATCCATGATGTGTGACCATCAGTCTATCTTCATAATAATCTCAATACTTTAATGTTATCCCACTTCACAATAAAGCTCGACTACAGATACTTTAAGAATAATGTTCTTATGTTTAATGGGATCTCATGATTAAGTCACACTTAACATTTCATTAAACATACGAACTATTCTAGGGACTTTATTATTTTGGAAAAATAAATATAATAAATAAATGTCTTTTATTATTAATAAATAATTCGATACATGTACCAAAAGTATTGGCCTCTAGGGCTTCCACCAATAATTTATCTGTGCTTGTTCGGAATGAGAACCAACCAGGAGGCGGGAGCATCATCTTCCCTCTCCTCGACAACATTGAACGCGTCAGAGGGATCATGAACAAACTGAGACATCAGATTCCTGGGTTCGGGCGTGACCCAATCTAGGGGGTTCCCCGTGCCTACATTTTCCTCGCCATTAGACTCGGGCAAAACAACTTTTTCATCTGGTTAAGCCACCTTACTTGAAAAGCAAGGGAAAACAGTGAATTCGACATCATCAAATCCACCCTTCCACCGCAAGTCAAGTGAAAGGGCAAAGAGATCCTCGAGGGTAGGTCCTCGACTCAGCCCTTGATGGCTACGCAAGAGGAAACGACTCCCCTCGGCTAAGCAAAATCACGAACATCCTCCCCGACGGAGCGACTTGCTCGAATTTTTCCAAATCACGAGGAGGAATCCCCGACAAGGACCCGTATGAAACTCGTCTGAGATTCATGGGTCTCCATCCATAATTCATGGATCTTCATACGAAATTCATGAATTTCATCCAAAGTTCATGGATCCTCACCCAGAATTCATGAATCTTCATACGAAATTCATGAAGTTCATTGGAAAACCTATGGATCTTCATTCGAAATTCATAAACTTCTCCAGAAACTTCATTCGTTCATCTAAAACCCTAAAGCAAATTAATATTCAAAGTAAATCACTTACTTGAAGAAGGATGAACGATTGGAGAATTCTATGGTGGCAGTGGCAGCAGCGGAGCAACTTACGAACAGAGGAGAGGCGAGAAGAGAGTAAAGTTGAAAATGCTGAAGTGAATTTCATCACCCCCTTTTATTGTTAGTCCCTACCATATGGGGTATCATGCAAGTAATTATCATTGCTTAGGCCCCTAGGATGTCGTAGGAAATGATGACGTTTTAAATAACTGCCACATGTGGCACGCAAAGTAACACACCATTTCGGCTTTAAAAAATCCCACATGTGAAACCACGCGCTAATACTATTTCAAAGTCTTTATCATCGAACACGTGCCCGATATCATGGCGACACTTTTTCCTACGAGCATCTCGAGGAGACTTGCTCGAATTTTTCCAAATCACGAGGAGGAATCCCCGACAAGGACCCGTATGAAACTCGTCTGAGATTCATGGGTCTCCATCCATAATTCATGGATCTTCATACGAAATTCATGAAGTTCATCCAAAGTTCATGGATCCTCACCCAGAATTCATGAATCTTCATACGAAATTCATGAAGTTCATTGGAAAACCTATGGATCTTCATTCGAAATTCATAAACTTCGCCAGAAACTTTATTCGTTCATCTAAAACCCTAAAGCAAATTAATATTCAAAGGAAATCACTTACTTGAAGAAGGATGAACGATTGGAGAATTCTATGGTGGCAGCATCGGAGCAACTTACGAACAGAGGAGAGGCGAGAAGAGAGTAAAGTTGAAAATGCTCAAGTGAATTTCATCACCCCCTTTTATTGTTAGTCCCTACCATATGGGGTATCATGCAAGTAATTATCATTGCTTAGGCCCCTAGGATGTCGTAGGAAATGATGACGTTTTAAATAACTGCCACGTGTGGCACGCAAAGTAACGCACCATTTCGGCTTTAGAAAATCCCACATGTGAAACCACGCGCTAATACTATTTCAAAGTCTTTATCATCGAACACGTGCCTGATATCATGGCGACACTTTTTCCTACGAGCATCTCGAGGAGACAAGTTCGGGGAAAATTTTAGCGTTTTCCCCGCGAACGCGAAGTTCCAAGAAAGCAACCACGTGAAGGCAAGCAATCAACGAATCACCGAGGAAGGTCCCCCGCGCACGCGTGCCCACACCGCACTCGAAGAGTCAACAAGGAGTTTGATAGTCCGCCGACCATATTGTCCCCGACCAAAATACGACGACGCTGGTTTAACCCCCTAGCATCGAGGACAAAAGTTAATTTCCTGGTGGGGTAACCTATCCTCGACATTTAAGCTAATCCTAACTCATCACTATTTTGCCCAAAGAGCAATAACTTGGGGACTCCTGTTCTAGACTGAGCTGACATTTGGTCCATCGTTGGACATGCCCAATCCAGTACCTCTACTATGGCCCAATGGCATCTAACCCAAGTCAATAACATTGGAGGATTGTCCACGTGCCCACCAGGGAAACGTGGTCAACAACTATCTTTGACTGTCATCCTGCCCACCTAGAACAACGAGTCCAACTTCCTTATTATCTCGGGGCAGTTGACCAGGGAGGAGGCCACACGCTGGACTTCATTACTCACGTAACCTTGGTAGTCTTTGTTATTGGGCCTAAATACTTGGTCCAAAATGTGGATCTTGGTCCAACACTGGGGACTATAAATATCCTCTCACATGAGAGAGTCAAATATTCACTCATTCTACACACTTTCATTACTTGCACTTACTCTGAACCTTACTTTAGTATCAGAGTGTCTTGTAGGTACCCCCACTTCACTTCAACAATCATTTAGTTCCAGCTTGTGGGCCATCAACGATCCCTTTTGATCAAGTACAATCAATATTATATGGTTGTTTACCGTGAGAATTGGTAAACAATCGTTGATCTTCCAAAAAGGGTTATTTTGGTGACTTGCAGGATCAATCAGATTGATCCTAAGGACATATGCTGAGTTTTTCTTTTTATATAAGCAAGTGAGTTTAAGTGAAAAGGGTTGAAAAATGCTAGAAAGTGCATGTAAAAGGCAGAATAAAGTAAATTTGCAGTAATGATAAAGCTTGCGCAGGGATGTAAACGGCAAGGAATGTAAAGGAATTGTAAAGACTTTGACTGAAATAAAAGATAGTGTTTCAAACGTACATTCTCAATATCTTTTCTCTCATAGCGGGTACTCGGATATGATTGAGTGACTTGTACTAATAAGTTGAACACACAGAAATCTACATGAAATCCCTATATTTATACTAAAACTAAGTAACCGCCGAGCAGTTGCCTCGTTCCAGGATGAGGACAAGTATCCTCTGCATATGCTTCAACTTCAATCTTCATGCCACGTTACTTTCCTCAACTGCCAAGTGAACTGCCTTTCCCTCCTTTCTTTAGATTCAAAATTCACTTGCTTGCTGATACAAGAATCTTTCAGTCGAAGACCGCAGGCTACAAAACTTCTTAGTCGAAGACCAACTTTAACTTAGAGAATTCTCTAAGTGTTTTAGGCTCTTCTGGTCAAATTGTTGACAACTTTAAATTTCTTCAATCTATTTTTAGTCAATAAAACCAATACATTATAAGTGTCAAATTTAAGAACTAACAATAGTGTACTCATGGTTTCATTAACTAAAATAACCCAATTGTGAAACAAGTTTCTTACTATATACTCTGTATAAAGTTCATGCGAAGAAAACATAAATATACAAATAGATGAATAAATATTATACCAGAAAAAAGTGATGTGAAGAAAGCAGATGAAATAATCTAAATATGTGAAGGCACATTATTCGGCCAGACTTTTGATAGAAATATACTTTTGAATTAGTCTTTTTTGGCAAAATAAAATAGTATAGTTCAATTACGTATAATTTTGATGTATTTGAATTGCATCTTAAAGTGCATTTCCAAATATTAAAACAAGTTTTATTTTTTCACTAGTGTGAAAAAACAAATTGTTAAGATGAGTGAAAGCAATTCTCAAAAATTATACCAACACAAAATGTATTTTAAGAAGTGATTTGGGGGGTATTGGTCAGACCACAAATAACTGGGCTACTAATTTGACCCGTGAAAAACAAAATAAGAAAATTAGAAGAAAAACTGAGATTGATCTCCACATTCACAACACAACTTGATCGTTCTTTTCTGCAAAGTTAACCTAAAGTAACTAAATTTCTATTTCTTCTACTATTAATTACCATACATTCACACTGATTTTGAAAATTTTCTTTCGTAAACCTGTTTTCCCTATTCGCTTTCGTAGTTTACACGCTGATTCGAATCCCAATTTCTCATATTGATTATTATAATTAACACATCACACTCATTCAGTGCTAAGATTTTGATCATTTCGAAATGATTCCGTTAATTTCAGCTTAGGTTTGTGTAGGTTAGTTCAGCAATTGAATGCGTGATTTATGCTAAACCTGTTTTCATTTGTTCGAATTCCTAATTAGGTTTATAATTGGGATTTTTAATGCAATTAGTGCACTTTGGGATAGTAAAATTTGAACAAATTGCTGTTTAGGTTAGTTCTTAATGGCTGCTACATCTGGGATAGCTGAAGAGGAAACACAAGTGTCTTCCAGTGACGAGAACAATCCGAGGCTGGATGTCTATGTATGGGACATGGATGAGACCCTTATACTACTCAATTCCTTGCTGAAATCGTCATATGCCGAGTCTTTTAACGGTCTGAAGGATGTGCGGAAAGGTGTTGAGCTTGGGAGGATGTGGGAAAATCTCATTCTGCAATTATGCGATGATAATTTCTTCTACGGCCAAGTAAAGTTTGGCTTTCTGTATAAAATATTTTCCATGGTTTGTTTTTAGTTGTGGAGAGTTAGTTTTGTGTGGGGTTTTTGCGTTGCAGATTGAGAATTACAATAAGCCGTTTCTTGATGTTATGTCCGAGTATGATGATGGGAGGGACCTATCAGATTATGACTTCAACACAGATGAATTAGGGCCACCACATGATGATGTCAACAAAAGAAAACTTGCATATAGGCATCGAGTTATAGCCCAAAGATACTTGCAGGTAAAACTTCTGGAGCACTAGCTGTATAGCTAATGACAAATTTTGGATGACTTGGAATTTTACTAGTTGAATTATTGACTAGTTATTTATTAAAGCATATGTTTTCTTGATGGTCTGGTTTGGTAAACATTACATGACTTTTGATTGAGTTCTCTTTTACTTATCTGTTGTATTGTTTCTACTCTCTTGAAAACCATAATTGTAATGTATATATAGCTGATACGGATTTTGAAACAAGTTTTTTGAACTATGTTAGACTTTACTCATTGTTTCAAACTTCCTAGAGATTAAAATGGAACTTACAAAGCATAGTTTTTGCAGCGATATTTGCAGGCATTCTCTTATTAGTGTAGATGGTTGCAAACTTAGGGATGGTATTTTGTTGTGAACATTCTGATAATGTATGGTAAAACTTGCATTCAACTGGCTTGTCATTTTTTTCTTGTCATAACTTGTTTATTGAAGGTTTATGAGTTGTATATGATATTATGTGATGCGTGATGTATTTTTCTAGTATGTATTTTAGATATAAAATACTTTTGAAATTGGTAAATAATGCTGTTCACAAAGAATTTGTGTCTGCTAAACTTTTTATGCATTTCTATGGGGAATTTGTTTGTTCCTATATTTTGCCCAAGTATGTTTTGCTGAGTTGGATAAATATCATTATCAACAAAAAATTTCAAATACTGCTGCTCCTCTCTTCATTTTACCTTCTCTAAAAACATGAAAAATGTTGATAATTCATCAAGGCATAGGCAAAGCAAGCTTAGGAAAATGAATGCTTGATCTCTAAAGAATTGATTGAGTATCCGTATTGGAGATATAATGAAAGCTATACAATTATATATATTGGACACTTCTAAACTAAATATTTTAATTATGACGTTAGAAGATCACTTGCAAAGTTGCAATTAAAAGTTGACAGAAAAAAACTTCAACGCTTCAAACAAATGCTCATAAATATGCTATCAGGCTAAAATTTTGACTCTTCTGTCAACCTCACGAGCCTTGGCTTATAATTGTGAGAGATGATAATTTGTTTTCTAATGGCAGAAGCTTGATAGACTTCATGAAGTAATAGACTGATCTTGAGAGACTAAAATATTATGGTGCAAGTGTAAACCATACAAGTTTACTTTGTTGAAGGATAAACTTATTTTCTCTCTTCTTGTTTCAGGGTTTACATAATATTTTAGATCATGAGACAATAAAAGCATGGGATGATTTGTATAGTAAAACTGATGAATATACTGACAAATGGCTTTCATCAGGTATGTTTTGACTCTTGACTATTCATTTATATTATATGTTGTTGCATAACCTGTATTACTATTAGTTATACCTTTCTTGTTTTTATTTATATTAGCAAGGGCCTTTTTGGAGGAATGTTCTGGTGAAAAGAAAGATGTGGTTTCTTCCACTGCTTATGGTAACACAAGCACGAACTCAACTAATGCAAAGCATCAGCGTGTAAATGTTCTGGTGACATCTGGATCGTTGATACCATCTCTTGTAAAATGCCTGCTCTTTCATCTCGACAGTGTTATAACACATGAAAATGGTGAGTAATTTGATTCTATTTTGATTACTACAAATTCAATGTGACAATATATTTAGGTTTAAATATGATTTTAGTCCTTGACGTCATACATGGCCCAATAAAATAGCGTGGCGTGGCCCAATAAACTAACGGTAGGGACTAAAAGCAGCAGTTTTTGAATTTGCAGGGCTAAATCCAAACAAAATACTTAACAGAGATTAAAACCAAAAAAATACTGTAATTGCAGTGACTAAATCATATTTAAACTCAAAAATTTATCATCCCCAAAACCATTATCTTTTCAAAATTTCAACCATTCAAAACTAGTAATAATCATTTTAGTAGAGTGAAGAGTTCATTCTTGAAAATGAGTCAATGTTACTTGCCAGTGAAAAGGATGTATTATCTCATTTCAGTGTATAGTTCCTGGGATGTGGGGAAAACTCAATGCTTTCGATGGATCAAGGAGCGTTTCAACCATCCCAACGTTCGTTTTTGTGTGATTGGAGACGGATGGGAAGAATGTGAAGCTGCAGAAATTATGAGATGGCCATTTATTAAGATTGACCCACGGCCAGGAAAGCCTCATAGGTTCCCTGGTCTCACATCCAAAACAGTTGGCCACTATTTTTCTGTGGTGTATCCAAACAACAAGAATGATGAAGAATGACGACTCTTCATGTTATCTGATCTATTTCCAAGAAAGAAAAAACTGCAGCAAGACCGATATTGCGCTGTCAAGTGTATATATTGCTGCCATGTGATGCCTGTCACAATTTAGTTTTTTTTTTCTTTCTTTTTTTGAAATACACTTGGATTTTTACTGTTCCTCTAAGAGTTGAAATCAGTTTGAATTATTTTTCTATACCATGGGTGAGTGATGACAGTTGAAAGAATGTAAATCATTTACCTCTTCTCATGTACATAAAAGATGTTTCAAAATAATATCTATGAACTTCTCTAGGCTACCATTGGCAGTAGGATTGTATCAGCTCATCATATGGGACTTTTATCAATCATTTGGCGGTAGGATTGTGGGAAGTAATACCCTGAGTCTAAAAGAAACTTAAATATGATTGAAAATGGAAATTGTAACTCTTGCAGTTATGATTGAAAGATATAGGGCTAGGACTCTCTGAATGAGCTTTATTTTTTGGTTTTCAAAATCTATTTTATAAATCAATTCAAAATACTGTTTTGAAGAAAAAATAAAATAAAACATATTTATTAATCTTATTTTTGAAAATGAAAAAGTGAAAAAACTTGTATGATGGACACATTTTTGCAATTATGAAGCAAGATGATTCATATCAATTTTTATTTTTTATATCTTAAAGTTGTATAATATTACAAATCCGCCAATAAAAATTGTACTATTTTTTGTCTTTTTAATTTCCAAAAGAAAAAACAAAACCTCTAAAAATCATTTTAGTTTTTTTAGTTTTCAAAAATTTTAATTTATAAATAGAAGATAGTTTTCAAAAAAACCTTTTTAAAATAAATAATTAAACAAATTTTATTATTTTTAAAATTTAAAAATTTAAAAACTGTTTTTCAAAACTAAAATTTAGCATACCCTAATTTTTGTTTTTATCAAATTTGCTTTTAATAGAGAATTTATCCTGATAAGTGGTAGCGGTTGGAAGGTTATGGTTAGGTGTGAGTTTCACAATTATAAACTAACTAAGGATTTAGAAGGTATCTTAGGCTGTTTAAAAGATGATGAAAGATAATTTGTGAATGACATGACAAAATACAATATGACTCTGAGATACATAATTACTTCTTTGAAAGATAGAGATTCAGAAAACCTCATTAGCGGTACCCATGCGTACAAGGCAAAAATTACATACAATACAAACAAGAGAGGTATATTGACTAAAATGCAACATCTGTTGAGTCTAATTAATGAAGAGAAATACACGTACTGGACCAGAAACAAAGACAATTTAGATGTTGCTGCTGATATCTTTTAGATGCATCATAATTCAGTGAAGTTGTTAAACATGTTTTATTTGGTGTTGATTTTTTATTGTACATACAAAACAAACATGTTATGCATTCTCTAATAATGTAACTTTTCATTTATTTGATTATAGATTGGAAGTTGTTAATTGTTTATTGTACATACAAAACAAACAGGTACCAGCTACCACTATTTGAAATTGTTTGTGTTACATCAACGAAGTTGAAGTTTTCAGTTGGATTTGTCTATATGGAATATGAAAGGGAGAAAAACTTCACATGGGCATTGGAGAAACTGAAAGAGTTGTTTAGGTCCGAGAAGTTGCTATTGAAGGTTTTGGTAATCGACTGAGAACTAGCTTTGATGAATGCCATGGAAGTTGTCTTTCGTTCTGATTGACTCATGCTATTTTCTCAAAACTTCTTTAAGTCTTGAACTCAGGGGGGACTCTAAACAAGATTAAACAAGTTATGGGAATATAGAACTCAAGGGGAGCTGTTTAGCTAACTCTAAATTGCTTTAATGTGATTAAATCGGTATAAATTGTTTATCAAAATACATGGTTTTCTCATCATAAAAATGGAGAGATTGTAAGAACAAGATTTGATTCTACATCTGGCTTTGAGTTTTGATGATAACATTACATGGGTGATTAAATAATAATTTAGTACCCTAATATTTGTTTAGTGTGTAACTTTTGCTAGAAGGTTCTGACTCCGAAGAATTTACGTATGACGTCATCATATTCTGGACTCAACACACTAAGAGATACAAATGCGTGTGACATTGCTTTGAGATTCTGACGGGTTCTCAAGCTCTGGATACTCCAAGCTCTCTTGCTCCAAAGCTCTGAAGATTCTAAATATAAGGTTTTGCTGAATGAGTTTTGAAGATTTTGATGCGCCCGCAAGTGCACGGAAATATTGAAGTAATATAAAAGATTATCGAATTCATAGAAACCAATATCAACCTATTGTAATTTATTGTTGCTTTGTAAAGCTAAGACTAATGAATAATTGATTAAGGGGAAACTAAGACTATAATAAAGACTAAAATAAGATTAATGAAATATAAAAGAAAAGAGAGGCTGAAATGTAGATTTCGCGTACCTCAGGGACTCTGTAATTCATTGGCTCAGACTGAAGGTAAAAAGCTTATTTCATAGAAAGTATCAGTTTAAAAACTAAACCTCACACTCTCGCGCTATTGGACAAAGCCGCGCCCCCTAACCATGGAATTTTGCTCTCGCTCGCCCATTCTAATTAAGAAACGTATTTTGAAAACTAAATAAATCCTAATCGATGTCTAAATCGCTCTCTCCCTCTTTAGGATTGATGCCCCGTTCCCACTATCCGGTTCGACCCCACGTTCTCGCAGTGCCGGTTTGAACTTAATTGATTCCTACTCTTGTGACAAACCGTTTTAATTTAACTTGGAAACAAAATACCAAAACATAATTTTATGCAAAACTTAAGCCAATTTCGTTACCGAGTCCCATCGGAACGAAGATCCTCACATACTAGACTCAAAGACTTAGCCGGACATGATTGTAAAAATAAATAAACAATTTTGGATTTTCAAATTAAAAGAAGACATAACAAACGGTTTAAAATAATTAAAACGATGTTTGGAAATTAAAGTAAAGTGATAAAAACTTAAACGATAACAATGGCAGAACTTGTAAAGCAAAATATAAATGGCGGAGAATAAAGGCAGGAAAATAAAAGCGTAAAAGTAAATGAACCTGAAGATAAAGACTGGAATATAAAACTGAAATAAAGAACTTCAAATAATGGCGGCAAGATTGATCCAAGCGTTACACCGATTATAGGCCTATACACTTTGGTGGAATAGTTCATTGATTTGAGAAAACTATCCCTTTTACAATGGTAATTTCTGCCTAAAACTTTGAACAATGCTTTAGTGTACAAACTTGGATGCCTCGAAAGTGTGATTTCAAGGTCTACTTATAGGAGGTATTTCATTTTCTAACTTCCATTGATTATGTGTGAGTAGTTGAAAAAGTGAGAGAAATCTCCAAAGTAGTGTTGTTAGTGGACGATTACTTTTCTGAACTGCACACAAATGGCGACCACCGTTATGCTCATGGCGACCGCCATAAGATTGAGTTGGTGGACCACGTGGCTGGGTTCATAGCGAACACCATTAGGTACATGGAGAATGTCATGCACTAGAGAGTGGAAAATTCAACACTTTTTCTTCCTTTTTTGCTCTTTTTTCGATTTCTTTGCATAAACACTCCATATTCGACAAGTACCTAAAACACGAACAATGCATGGCATAATACTATGAAAATATAATAAAAAGATACTAAATAGCTTATGAATTGGGTGTAAAAATATGATACATTTACGTGTTATCAAATTCTGAAGATATGGCTCTGAAGACCAATGCGCTGAAGACTCTGAAGACAAGGTTCTGTTGAACAAGTTCTGAAGACTCTGAAGACCAAGGTTCTGAAGATTGATTTTGATCCTTCTAAGCATGCTGCAACTCTTGCATACTCTAAAGCATCTGAAGATTAGAAGAGAAAATCAAAGGTCTCACGTGAAGTGATAGTACAAAGTCACATCCTTCCACTACTCTGTTTTTGTGATGCAAGGAATGTACTATTGGTATTATGTTGTCTACCACTCACACTGACCGTTGCAAGAAGACAACTGAAATTTTGGTATTCCTATTCTATCTTCCAACATATTTATTTTTTCCTATAAAAGGAAGACTTGGAAGAATTGGAACCGTTGAACAACTTTGAAGAAACTCACGCTAATTCAATTTGCTGAAACGCTGCCAAAATAACTCTTTAATTTTTTGTAAAGCAAGAAACTTTTGTTCATTAACTTGCTAGCAAGGAACTGTTGTTCTCTAACTTGTTTAACATTGTTGAGTTATTATTTGTTCTTCATTTCTAGGTAACCTGCTTTCAAGAAGCATTATTGTAGACACAAAAGCTTGTATTCAATAATAAGTTGGTTGTTCCTTGAGTGACTAAGTGTTAGTCTGAATACTCAAGAAGCCATTGACAATTTGTCTTTGAGGTGTTATTCCTTGAGTGACTAGGTGTTAGTCTGAATACTCAAGAAGACATTGACAGTTTGACTTTGTTAATTATAATCAATTTGGTTATAGTAGATTTAGTCATTGATTGAGAAAAACAAATCACCTTGGTGGATGGACTTGATTAACTTTGTTAATAATGAACCAAAATATAAATAATTGTGTTCATTTATTTCTGTTCTTGTGTTAACTTCAAGTGTTTGGTTTCAAAAAGATTTTATCTCCTGTTAGAATTTGCAACAATGACCGCAACCACTGTCTTCTTGAGATCAAACCTTCACTTGATCACTCAATGAATCAATCAATAACAGTTGATAAGGTTTCTGTGTTTACATGTGAAATTTTGGCTATCTGATCCCGGATGTCTTAAGAGATGTCAAGACACTAGATCTGAATTCACACACAACAACAAGATATATAAACAAGATATAACATGCTGAAAGTAAATAACACATGATATGTTTATCCAGTTCAGAAAAACCTTCTTACTATGGGGGTGTTGTATCCCAAAATTTCCCCTCTCATTTCTTAAGACATTTCCTACAAGATCTTCAATAGCTCAAGCTTCCACAAGGATTGACTAGGTCAAGACGTCTCCTCAACATTGATGCCTCAGATTAGGGCTT